CAATTAAAACAATACTCTCCCGGTCCACAATAAGTGATTTTTTGGTCTTTTTTTGTGGTGCAAAATAATTAATTTTTTCAGATTTCAAGAATGAATTAATTATTTTTTTCCTACATTGTCTTTGGAGTAAATAGTGTTGGAGTATGTGTTAGGAGTGTTTATGTGAAGAGATAGTAAAGATTAATATGGTAAATTTTATCGCTAAATAATGACTAAAGATGAATTTCTTAATTTGTGTGAAAACAGCCAAAAAATCATTTATTGTGAACCGGAGGGAGTATGACCTAAGACTTTGTTCCCAAATCTAAATGGTGTTACTCCTTCGTCGAAAAATTATATCGTGTATAAGTTCGATAAAAATTCTAGTTTCGTCGCTGGTATTAGGTTTAGACAAGAAGAATATGTTGTATTTTTAAACTCGGATTTGTGTAGAATATGAATATATGATTGATAGGTCAATTTCATTCTTTTCTTTTTCATTTTTGTAGTCAGAGTATATTTATTAGAAATTTTTTAGGGATAACTAACCTGTTCAAATCTCTAGCTGACAAAAGCCTGATAGGTGGTTACAGAGTTATGCTATGAAAAATTGTCTGTTCCATTTGTTTTGTTTCATAAAGAAAAGAATTTTTAGAGAAAATGAAAAGTTAGTAAGTTAGACTTGTAACTTTCAACCAAAAAGTATTGCTTTTATTTTTTTTTAAGTGAATATGATGTTCATACTAAAGCTTGCATTTTTTATTTTTTTTTTGGTTTTCACCCGGTGTTCCGTATTTATATTGGGGCCCAATTAAATCCGGATTCATGCCGGAAAATCTCACATCGAGGAGTAAAGCGTTCCCTAACAAAGGCGATTTCATATCCAGGGACTCAAACCCGACACCTCCGATTAAGGATGAAGGAGTACTTACCACTCCGCCACAACTCTTGTTCGCAAAGCTTGCAGTCTGATAATATCGATAGAAATTGCGTAAAGCTTAGCAATACTATACCTTTTCCTTTCCAGAAATTGCAAAAATATAATACTTTTTCTAGTGGTCTTTAATTTTTGACCCCCGCTTAATTCAGGAGCCGAACTTCAAAGTCAAAGGTTAAAAATATTGCCCATTGGACAAACGAGAGGTAACTTTTGTTAAATTTAATGTTCTGCCCATAAGGCAAGCGAGGATAAAAATTCAAGATCATCCACTTTGATGGCTATTTGTGTACTTTACCCTTTTTCTTCCCTTCTGATCTAGGACTAATGTAATAGATTTTTTTTTTAAATAGTATAATTTATTGTCCAATGTTATAATGTTTGTTTTAATCGTTACTATTAATTAAGATCAATCTTAATCAATAATAACCCATTTCACTATCAACAGAAACGGTTGGATGGTAAGATCCCTCCATCTTTAACCAAAAGATCTTGAATTCGATTTTTGGAAATGAAAAAGTTCCTTGTAAAGAACACTTTTCCCTTAATAATCTCTACGCGATGCGGATGTAAATTAATCCAGTCAGTATATTTTAGATACCAAATGGTTTATAAGAGGAAAAAAAAATAAACCTCACCAATTCATCTCTGAATTCGAATGCGATTAGTTTCGACGGACCGGTCAAATATAATTTGTATTTTGCCACCCGACTTTGCCTCATAATTTTCCAATTTTTCACATATTAATTGGGGTCATTTCAGAAAAAAAAAAATGGGGTCATTTCTAACTTGTCTTTTTTTACAAATATTTAGCAAATTCTCAACCAATTATACCCCTTAC